GTTAATGTTGCAGAATTCATTCGGATCCCAATCAGGTCCGTCGAGCGTTAGGTAACGGACCCAGTATTCGGTTCCACTGACGTCGACCCTTTCTGGCCCTTTGTCGGTAGCGACGACACGGTACCAGCGGTAGACGGGACGGGCCCGTCGATCCTGACCGTAAACAGTTGAGTAACTTCCTAGGGGAGGAACTGCCGGACGCGGAGCCCACGTGCAGACCATAATCCATTGGTTGGGCGAGACATCCAAATACTCTTCGGCCTCGGCTGCGCTGACGGAGCCTACCGGACCCGCGCTAATAGCGACGTCGCCGCCGCCAAGTCCCAAGCCATTTAGGAACTCGATTCCGCAGATGCGTTCGCTGGCCAAAGACTCAGCAGGAGTTGCGGGAGCCGGTGCAACATCGGTGTCAAAATCTCGCTTTGCGAAAACGATGATCGAGACTTTGTATTCGTTGCGAATGGATGGAGAGATATCATCATACATTCCGCTGCTTGGTGGATTCTCAACCGCCAACACTTCTTGCGGCGAGCGGCTGACCATCGCCATCCAGGTATAGTCACCTTGGTACTGCTCAATGTCGGCATCACCGCCGGAAAACAGTCGAACTGGGGTCTCGGCCTCGTCTGCCGGCAGATCGAAAATGCCATCGTTCTGCGACATGAAGATGCGTTCAGCGACGCTATTGACCATAGAGTAGGCATCAGGAGGGCTTGGGCTTGTCCATCCACCCGCATTCAGTGTCGTGAAGTCCTCCAACATGCTCAGCGTAACACGCGGCATGCGAGGACAGTTGTCGTAGTCGCCTGGCGCCAAAGTAAACGGACTTGTCGTGATTTGTAGATCGTAAGGGAACGTCCGGCCGGGCCAGTCGTTGGCATGCGAAGCGGTTCCTCTGGCAATGAACAGCGGATCGATACAAAACGTCTCGGCCCAGTCATCAACATTCGTAAACGCCACATCACCCGCTACCACACCTGGGCCTTCCGGCCCAGCATAGGGAGTAGATGTCCCGTCATCCCAAGGGTTTGGAACGTTCCACGTCCGAAGGTACTTATTGGTTCCGCCCACGTCATCTAACGCCATCCACCGATTCGGCTCCAGCATTCCGCGGGTTTTGAATTCTCGGAAGGCGTGGCGGCCGGTGGTGGCGGCTCGGTCGAACGTGTTGACCTGGCCCACGCGGTAACCGCCGACGGGGATGAGCGAGAGGAGACCCAACAGCCCGATGCTGAGGACGAACGTGGAGATGAGCACCTCCAACAGCGTGAGCCCAGGCCGGCGTGCGTTTCGCTTCTCGTGTTTGAGCAAGGTGTGGTTCATGGTTTAGCGTCCCCCAATCCCCAATTTCTCAACCGCAAACTGCCGCGACTGCTGGACAAGTTGTGCCATGTTTGCAGGCATGAGGCTGACAGTCGCCACTTCATCGGTCGAAATCGTGCCGTTGATGGGGCTCACTGAGATCCAATAGTTGTCAGGGTCGATGAGATTAGGAGTCAGGTCATCGTCAAGCTCTAACACTTCATCCAATGCCGGTACTGGGTTGAGTTCGAGGCCAACCTTCTCACTCTTACCGACCAAGAGATATAGGGGGCGTGTCATGGAAATCGCCCCCCAATCGAGATCAGCAGGGGCAGTCGGTGGATCGTTGTTTGGTGTAAAACGAAATACGCTGTCCGGTGATCCAGCTGCATCAAAGAGAATTATGATTGGCTCAGTACGAGAATCGACGCCATTGCCCGCAGCATCACTAACTAGATAGTCATTCGTATTGTCGCTCTTTGGCCGCAGCGGAAGCACATCGCCGGAGTAGTACAAATCGAGCGTCGTACCAGCAGGCAGTTCAGCGGTTGAGGCACCACTTTTTTGAGGCTGGCGGATTATCTTGAATGGAACTCCGTCTCCGGCACTTCCAGTATTCGGAGCGGAAGGAAAAATTAGATTCCCACTGCCATCGTGCCCCATCATTGCGGGATTTGTGGGAAAAAGTATCCAAGGGTCCGTCCGCGGATCAGCCAAGAACCCGTAAGAATCGAGAGTTCCCCCGGTAATCCGGAAAGTAGTTGGTCGATTATTGAGACTTACCAAGTCGCCGCGCCGAATAAGTCCAACGGGCGCGATTGTTACCCAGGTTGACCCAGTGCTATCCCAAACAGCAATATCCGTCACTTGGAGTCGATCATTGACAACGTTGTACATGAGCTTCGTATTCGGTGCGTCACCCGAATATGGTTCTGGAACCTCACAATACGCCAACGACAAAACGGTAGCCGGGTCTCCATTTATGCCCTCTAGCCACACTCCAGCCGGGCGCCCGCTTTGAATAGCATTCGAACGAGCACTACTGAGAAATGTGCTTACGGTGCGAGCTGCCTCGCGCTGACGTCGACCAGCTGCGGTAGGAGCAATCACGGGAACGATAGCCGCGCTGACTGCCAGAATGATGAACACCACGACCAACAGCTCGATCAACGTGATGCCGTGTCGCGCACGTATCGGATTTTGTCGAGACTTTCGCATGTTATTGATTCAGTTGATGGTTGTGTACGTTATCAAGTTCGTAGCCGTTGTATGGCATAGGGTCGCTTTGAGGCCGATCGTTGTTGCTCATTTCTAAAGTTGTTTCGTCGTGCAAATAACGTAACGTCTCACCTCTCTGTCGACGGTCTGCTCCGGTTGCAGGATTAAACGCGTATGGATCTTCTGGAGTCGTTGTAGTGAAACCAAAGACGACCCCAAGCTCGCTATCTGGGCCAGCAGAGAGAATGAGCGGAAAAAGTCGATATCCGCGTGGCTGGAATTCGTCGAAGTTGCTAGGCGACGGATCAATCCGCCGGGTATCAAACGGATTCGGATCTGCCACTAGATCCCTGTATATCTTGCCATTACCCGCATCCACTTCCGCTTGATCAACTACACCGGGCTGGAGATCGGAAATGAAACCAGCGGGCCAGCGGATCCACTCTATGGGTCGCCCCCAGCCATCGATGAACTCTGGCATGCCATCTTCATCCACATCACCGACATCACGCTCCGAAAATATCGCTCCGGCATCAGTGCCAATGTTTGTCGTCAGGATCATATACAGACATTCTGCTGGCTGAAATGCGGTCAAAGCGGCTGCATCCGTCATGTCCCAATTTTGCTTTCCAAGTGCTCGCGCAATGCGACGTTGATAGGAGCGTCGGATTGAGGGATTTAAAAACTCATTGGTTTCATATGTGCCATTATCATTCCGGTCGAGCTTCAAGAACTTTGGGACGAAGTTGGGATCGAGATCTTGATAGCGATCAGGCAACTCCATCCTCATGAGTTCGCGACGGGCGAGGAGCGTTCGGGCGGCAACCTCTTCCGCATATGTGGGAGAGCCAGGCGTCGCGAAACTGTCTTCGATGTATTTTGGAAACTTACCAGGAGTTGAATCTGCGAAATCGCCAGCAGCAGTAGTCGCCTCCGTCGGATCGATCGGCACTCGTCGCGTCTGGTACGACTCCCAGCGGATGGCCATTTGATCGTGTAGCTTGCGGATGAGGGCTTCGGTGCGGCGGCCGCGGGCGGCTTCTTGGGAGGTGTACAGGGCTCCAAGGACCATGCCGGCCAGGATGGCGATGATGGAAATGACGACCAACAGTTCGACTAACGTGAACCCACGCGCGGGACGAGAGCTTGCACGACGTACTGCGACGTCTGATAGCGCGCTCGAACTTTGTGAGTGAGTTTGCACGGGAAGCTTCGCGGTCGAGGTTTGGCCTGGCTGGCCAGTGACGTTTTGCTCAAGGGATCTTGTTGGCTGCGCCAACCCAGCCCACAGGCTGGGCCACCCGGGATGGGTGTACTCTGTAGCTATACGGTGTTGCTGGGGGTTACGGTTCATTGTGGACCTCCCAGAGCTTGCTCGAGCGTGGAGTCGAGGAAGTTCGTCAAGTTGTCGTATTGGGCCACGTCGATCGGGTGCCAAGTGGTTTGCTTCCGCACCACGTATTGCCCGCGAGGGTAAACCGTCAACTGGTTCTGGGCCGCGTTCAAATCTGCCGGGCTGAACGACGTTAGTTCGCTGTACATGTTGTCGCCGCCCGCACAAAGCAGTTGGAACGAATCGGCGGCCGCGAAATCGCTCGGCTGCGGATGCTCCTCCGGGTCGTTCGCTGCATCGGGCCTGTAGGTGAGCAGGTACGGTCGGGCGAAACCCCAACTGCCCGCGGCGGAGGCCAGGGCCGGATGCCAATCCTCCGGATAGCTGGGCAACGCGCTGTAGATGCGGGAATCGAAATAGACATACGGCGGGGTGGCCGTCCCGGCGCCGTCGTAGTCGGGCACATACTCGGGCCAGCCATCTTGGTCGGTATCGACGAGCCGGCGACGATCGAACTCGAACAGCATCTCGGTCCGCTTCGGCTGATCGGCCTGCGACAGGAACGGGGCCTGCGGATCGGCCGAGAAGCCGGTCAGTTCGACCTCGTATCTATCCTGCGTCGCTTCGATGATCCGCGGCAGTCCACCCAACCAGAACACCAGCGACTCGGCCGCATCGAGGCTTTTCACATTGCAGCCTGTGCTGGGGACATAGCCAGCGCTAGCGGGCACGGTGGCCTGCTCGATGCCCCGTTCGATGTCGTCGAAGAAGCCGTCGTAGCGGGGGAACACTCGTCGCAAATGACGGGTGAAGACGTCTTTCAGATAATCGTTCTGATTAAACGCCGGCGACATGGTTGTGCTATCCGAGACCATCGTCGGCGGCAGCTCACCGAATTGCCCGCTGTAGTTCCGCACGGCGAAATCGAGCGAGTACAGCTCGTTACTCACCACCGCATTGCGGGCAGCGTTCTTCGTCGAACCGAGGCCGTTGACCACCAGCCCCACGATGAGCCCCAGAATGACGATCACCACCAACACCTCGACCAAGGTGAAGCCCAACGGCCGAACCGCAAGCGCACCATTACCGCTGAACACGATCGCCCGTGCTTGATGCGGTTGTCGGATTGTTGGGGCGTAGCGAGACATTAGTCTTCGATATCGTTTTCCAAAGCTGAATCGGTGAAGTTGGTGAGGTTGTCGTACTCGATGGCACTCAAAGTTGGGCCTTTCGTGGCGGGGCTTGACGCGATGTTGTAATTCAGCCCCTCCGGATACACCGGCAGTTTCGTAATGGCAGTAAGAATGGTGGCTGAGGTTACCGGCTCACCATATTGGTTATCTGCACCAGCGCAGATGATTTGAAATGTTTCAGAATTCGCGAAGCTGCTATCTATCGGCATCTCGGTGGCTGAAGGCTGATACCGGATTAGGTACGGCCGAGCCAATCCCCAAGTTCCAAGCGAACCGTGATCGCTCGCCGGATAGAACGGCAACTCTGTGTAAGTAGAGGAATGGAAATAGGCATAGGGTGGAGTCCCTTGGGCCGCACCCGTATCTGGCACATATTCAGGCCAACCGTCTTGATCGGTATCGACCAAGCGGCGAGGGTCGAACTCGAAGAGCGGTGGTGTGCGATTCGATTGAAAATCACCTCCCGAAGGAGGATCATACTCTGGGAGAAATGGATTGCTTGGATCCTGCGCAAAGCCGGTCAGTTCAACTTCGTATTCCCCTGCCGCGAGATCGGCCTTCCAGATCTTTGGAATACCCCCCAACCAAAAAACCAGCGCCTCAGCCGGGTCCATAGTCGTAAGGTCGCAAGCCGTCACACCACCGTAGGAAGCGCCCGTGGGAAACTCTGTGCCTGTGGCGAGAGCTGTCCTTGCAATAGTCCAGTTGCCTGCATAGCGTGGAAATGCCTTTCGGACGTGTCTTTCGAATCGTGCAATTTTCCCATCTTGTTTGGTACCGGCGTCTGTCGCACTGATGGCAAATACACCCATCTGAGTGCCATGATTTGTGGGATACAACGTCGGGGGCAGGGCCCCGTATGTATTGCGGTAGTTGTTCAACGCCAAGTCCATCTGATCGATCTCGGTCTTCACAACTGCATTGTTCACCGTGCCGAGGGTGGGACCAACGGCGACGATGAGCAAACCGGCTAAGATGCCGATGATGATGATGACCATCAGCAACTCGACCAGCGTGAAGCCACGCGGCGTGGTGCGGGGGTTGGGGTCCATGTTTCGCTTCTCCTTCCGGGATGTATTTCCGCCAACGCGGCACTAGCCGCTAAGGGTTTGAATCAAGTCGATCAGGGGCAGGAACAACGCAATGACGATGAAGCCGACCATGCCGCCGAGGATGATGATCATCAACGGTTCCAGCAAACTCACCAGGCTTTCTGTGAGCACGGTCACTTCTTCGTCGTAGTTGTCGGCGATTTTGTAGAGCATGGTGTCGAGTTCACCGGTCTCTTCGCCCACGTCGACCATGTTGATCACCAGGTCGTCGACAACCCGGCTGTTCAGCTTCATGAGGTACATCAGCACGCCCACCGGACCGCCGATGAACGCAAACCAGAAGAACACCGTGACCGGGTTGAACTTCGGCTTCGAGAATTCTTTCATGGGCTGAGCGATCGATTCACCTTCGCGAATCGAATCGTAGATCTTGCCGTACATCCGCTCGAACACAGCGTTGCCGCTGGTCTCACGGGTGATGTTGAGCGCTTCAAGAATTGGCACACCCGAGGCGACCAGGGTTCCCAGGGTTCGGCTGGTGCGGGCCATGGTGTTCTTTTCCAGCAATTGGCCAAAGATGGGCACCTGAATGGTGAACAAGTCCCACCCGAAGCGGCCCGCCTTGAACTTGCAGACCAGCTTGACGAACAGCCAGACCCCCAGGGGAATGGTTGGAATGAGGAACCAGTACGAGCCGACCAAGTTCGAGATAGTGATGAGCAACTCGGTCATGGCCGGCAGCTCGGTATCGAAGTCTTCGAAAATCTTGCGGAACGCCGGCACGATCTTCAACATGATGAACACAAGGATCAACACGGCGACGCCGACGACCACGATGGGGTAAATAAGCGCGCCTTTGACTTTACGCTTCAGGGTTTCGGCCCGTTCTTTAAACTCGGCCAGGCGGCGAAGGATGACTTCCAAGGCACCACCCGCCTCGCCGGCCTTGATCATATTGACGTACAGCCGGTCGAACGCCTTGGGGCATTTGGCCATGGCTTCTGAGAGCGTCGAGCCGCCTTCAATTTCGTCGCAGACATCCATCAGCGAGTTCTTCAGCCGGCCGGGCTTCGATTGTTGTTCGAGAATTCGCAAGCTGCGGAGAATCGGCAGACCGGCATCTTGCAAAATGGACAACTGCCGCGTGAAGGTGGTGAGAATCTTCCCGCTGACACCACCAATGGCGAAGGACTTTCCTTTGGCGCCCTTCTTCTTTTCCGCCCGTTGGCGTGCCTTTTTGGCCGAGATTTTGGTGACGAAGTACCCGCGCTGGCGTATTGTGGCCTGCGCTTCATCTTCGCTGGCAGCCTCGATCACATCTTTGATCTCGTTGCCAGTGGCGTCCATCGCTTCGAATTGAAACGTCGGCATGATCGTCGCTCCTGATCGTGGTTCGTCCTATTGCCGGAACTCGGTTGCCGGCGGCCGAACCATTTACTTGGATGTCTGAACGCGTTCCGCTGCCATCGTGCAGCGAGTGTTGGTTGCCTTGGTTAACGTGTATTACTGGTTGCTGTGTTGCTTTACGCCTCGAGCACGGTTTCGCGAACGATTTCTTCCAGGGTGGTGGTACCTTCGTAAACGGCATCCATCCCGGCATCGCGGAGGGTAACCATGCCGAAGTGGCGGGCGGCGTCGCGGATTTCTTCGGTACTGCGGTGCTGGACCACCATGTCGCGGAGGTCGTCGTTCATCACCAGCAGCTCGAACAAACCGACGCGGCCCTTGAAGCCCGTGTTGTTGCAGGCTTCGCAGCCGGCGCCGCGGTAGAACTTCTTGTCGGCCACGTCTTCGGCCGTGAGCCCCATGTCGGCCAGCGTCTCGGCACCAGGCCGGGTTTCTTCGCGGCACTGCATACAAATGCGACGCACAAGCCGTTGGGCCAAAATGGCTTCGACCGTGGCAGTAATGAGGAACGGGGCAACGCCCATATCCATCAAGCGGGTGACGGTCGCCGGGGCGTCGTTCGTATGCAACGTGCTGAACACCGTGTGCCCTGTGAGCGAAGCCTGCACGGCGATTTCGGCCGTTTCGGTATCGCGAATCTCGCCGACCAGAATCTTGTCGGGATCTTGCCGCAAGATGGCCCGTAGACATGAAGCAAAGGTGTTGCCGATCGACGAATCGATGGGGACCTGAACGATGCCGTCGATGTCGTACTCGATCGGGTCTTCGGTCGTGATCAGCTTCTCGGTGATTTCGTTCAGTTCGCTCAGCGCGGAATACAGGGTGGTGGTTTTGCCCGAGCCCGTGGGACCCGTGACGAGAATGATTCCGTTGGGCTTCTTGATCACCTCGCGGAAGGCCTTGAGCGTGTCGGCGTTCATGCCCACCTTGTTCAAGTCGAGCGAGACGACCGAGCGGTCGAGCACCCGCATGACGACGCTTTCGCCGAACATGGTGGGAAGCACGCTAACGCGAAGATCGACCGGGTGACCACCCACGGTGAGTTCGATACGACCGTCCTGCGGCAACCGCCGCTCGGCAATATCGAGGTTGGCCATCACCTTGATGCGAGTAGTAATGGCAAAGGCCAAGTGCCGGGGCGGCGGCACCATTTCGTACAGCACGCCGTCGGCCTTGATGCGGATTTTGAACTCGTCCTCGAACGGTTCGAAGTGCAAGTCGCTCGCGTGATCTTTAATGGCCAGCAGCAGCACCATGTTCAGCAGCTTGCGAACCGGAGCACTGTCGGCCAGGGCTTCGACACTGGTGAGATCGATGGGCCCGTCGTCGCTGATCGACTCGGCCACCTTCTGCAGGTCGGCATCGTCTTCCATGTCGGAAACGAGTGTCTCGACGCTTTCGCCGCTGGCCGAGTAGTAGCGATCTAGTGCGGCGAGTACATCGGTCTCGGTGGCCACCACGGCGCGGATATCGTAGCCGAGGAAGTTACGAAGCTCGTCCAGGATCTGCAGCTTTTGCGGATCGCACATGGCAATGGTGAGCACGCCGTCTTTAAATGCGACGGGAATGATGCGGTAGAGCATCGCCATGGGCTCGGTGACGTATCCCAACACGTCTTGCTGGATGGTGGTATCGGCCAGCGAGATTGTCCGCATGTTCATCTGCTCGGCCAGCGCTTGCGCGAGCTGGTCGTCGGTGATCATGCTCATGCTTTCGGCCACTTTGCCGATAAGCTCGCCGGGTCGATTCTGCTGTTCTTCCAACAACATCTCGAGCTGGTCGTCGGTGATGAACCCGAGGTCGACGAGAATTTGTCCTAAACGTCGAATTGCCATGTTCTGTCTTCTCAGATGCTTAAAAGGTTCAGGCCGTGGGCCTCACAGACAATGTTTTCACTCTTGCAAGAACTCATCGCCGAGCAGGCCCATTCGGCCGGCACCGGCACGACTTCTTCTGGACGCAACACGCACACGAGCGGCCGTTTGCGTCGGCAAACCATTCACTATCTCCAGGACCACCTGCGTCGACTGCCGATCGACGCTAGACCTGATGGGAAACGTTCGAATTGTGTGGTGGCCCGCGCTTGCAAAACGAAAAAGAAAAGGCTGACGAAATGACTAAGCCCTAGTCGTCTTCTTCCTCTTCTTCTTCGCCCATACCGGATTCAGCCCGAGCGATTCGAGCTGCTAGTTCGTCTGGTTTATTGGACTTCATCATCACATCGTCTTTCACGCAGGTGCCATTGCGCCACAACTGATACAAGGCGTCGTCCAGCAGTTGCATGCCGTACTTACCACCCGTTTGAATCGATGATGTGATACGGAAGGTTTTATTTTCACGAATCAGGTTCGCGATGGCCGGATTGACCACGAGCATTTCGTGGGCAGCCACACGGCCTCCGCCGACCTTGGGCAACAAGGCTTGCGACAGAACGCCGATGATCGACGTGGAGAGCTGCACGCGAATCTGATCTTGCTGACTAGAAGGAAACACGTCGATGATGCGGTTCACCGTGCCTTCGGCACCCGTGGTGTGCAACGTGCCGAACACAATGTGACCGGTTTCGGCCGCGGTAATGGCGGCTTCGATCGTTTCCAAGTCACGCATTTCACCGACGAGAATAACGTCGGGGTCCATACGCAACGCTCGGCGAATCGCCTCGGGGAACGACGGCACGTCGACGCCAATCTCACGCTGGTTGACGGTCGACTTTTTGTGATAGTGATAGAACTCGATCGGATCTTCGATCGTAATGATGTGATGATCGATCGTCGTATTGATGTAATTAATCATGCTGGCCAGGGTCGTGCTTTTGCCCGAACCCGTGGGGCCCGTGACCAAAAACAACCCCCGAGGCCGCATGCAAAGATCTTTACAAGGCCATGGCAATCCCAACTGATCCATGGACATGAAGTTGTTGGGAATCTGCCGCAGCACCATGCCCACGTTGCCGCGCTGTTTGAACACGGCCACGCGGAATCGGGCCGCATCACCAAAAGCAAACCCAAAGTCGGTACCGCCGACTTCCTGCAACTCTTGCTGACACCGCTCAGGCGTGATGCTCTTCATCAACGCCACCGTGTCTTCAGGCTCGAGCGACTTGGTATCGAGCTTGCGCAGGTGGCCGTGAAGACGAATGACTGGCGGCTGGCCTACGGCAATGTGCAGATCGCTGGCACCTTGATTGATGACCGTCTGCAGCAGCTTGTCGACGAGAATTGTGCCCATAGATTTTGATCACCTCGAACTCGATCGCAGCTGGCACCCCACGCTAGCGGATCGACGAGGACCTCTGTCGCCTTCTGTTCCGAAGCCCCACTCATCTCGCTGGCAGTTTGCCTCAGTCTGCCAACGCAATTTCGGCCCAAGGTCTCGCGACCCAGTCGTGCAGGGGCCTGCCACCTTCCCCACACCCCACAAGAGCCAGCCTAGAGTTTAATCCAATGCCTAGCTCCAGCACGCGAATTATTCGTAACTCGATCTCCAGGCTCAAGTAAATCCTGCCAATCGGACTGACCCGACCCACGAACAGTGTTCATACGAACACCGCCAAGCTGACCCAAGAATTCGATTGAGCTCAAACTCCTGTGTCTCTTTCACCTTCCCAACGCCATTCTTCAAGGGCCACCGAATTGGTCCTCTTGAACTACCTATTCCAACGAAGCTCTGGGCCTCAAATTCCCCCATCTAAACGCGGCCCACCCCACCTCGACAACTCGAATTATTCTGTCAGCTTGGCGACGCGGAAGACCTCATCGAGCGTGGTCACCCCCTTCATCGCTTTGGCGACCCCGTCGTCATACAGAGTGTGCATCCCCTGTGATAATGCGACTTTACGAATTTCCTGCGTCGACGCACCTTTGAAAGTCAACTCGCGAATCTTTGCCGAGAGCAACATCAACTCGAAGATGCCCTGCCGCCCGCGATAGCCGCTCCGCCCGCAATTTCCGCAGCCCTTGCCACGCATGAAGTTGGCTTTGCTAGCCATATCGGGGGAGATTCCGGCGGCCTCCAATTGCGAGTCGCTAGGCGTATATGGCTGCTTGCATTTGGTGCAAACCACCCGCACCAGACGCTGGGCGAGGACCGCAATCACACTACTTGCCACCAGATAGGCGGGGACGCCCATGTCCACCATACGTGTAATAGCACCGGGCGCATCGTTCGTATGCAGCGTACTGAATACCAAGTGTCCAGTAAGGGAAGCTTGGATTCCCATCTCCGCAGTCTCTTGATCTCGCATTTCACCCACGAGGATCACATTGGGGGCCTGACGCAGCATCGCGCGGATGATTCGGGCGAAGTCCAGTCCGATGCTGTGCTTCACCTCCACCTGGTTAATACCAGGCAGGTAGTATTCGACGGGGTCCTCTGCGGTGATGATTTTCCGATCGGGTCGGTTCAGCTCGTTCAAGCCCGCATAAAGCGTAGTCGTCTTACCGGAGCCTGTCGGCCCGGTGACCAGGATGATGCCGTTCGGGCGGCGGATGAGGTTCTTGAACGTCCGGTAGTCCTCGTCGGCCATACCAAGCTGGCGAACCCCCACGCGGATGCTGTCCTTATCCAACAGCCGCATGACGATCGACTGACCGTGATTGGTCGGCAGAACGCTCACACGCAGGTCGAGCTCTTTACTGCCTGCCGTGACCTTAATCCGCCCATCCTGGGGGCGTCGGCGTTCCGCAATGTCCATCTTCGCCATGATCTTTACGCGGGAGAGCAAGGCCCCCAACAAGCGGCGGGGAGGGCTGTCGCGCTCGACCAGTACGCCATCTACCCGATAGCGGACGCGGACTCGGTCTTCGAAAGGCTCGACGTGGATATCAGATGCCCGCAGCTGAACAGCCTCGGTAATGATGAGCTGCACCAGCCGTACGATCGGGGCACTGGTCTCATCGACGACGTCGTCTTCGGAAGCCGAGTCTTCCTCGGTTTCGGTGAAGTCGATGGCCGTATCAGTGAATTCCTGCAGCATCGAGTCGGCACTTTCGCCTTCGGTCTGGCCATAGTGCCGGTTGATCGATGCCTGAATGCTCTCTCGGGGGGCCAGGGCGATGTCGATCTTGCGATTGAGGATGAACCTCAGCTTGTCGAGGGTGTCCAGGTCGAGTGGATCGCTGACCACCACCTTCAACGCGTCACCCTCGTCGGACAGGGGCAAAATCGCGTTTTCTCGCACCACCGATTCGGGAACCAGTTCGATAACCGCGGGTGGGACGACCACTTCGTCGAGATTCACGAAGTCGAGCCCGTGCTCTTGAGCGACGGCCCGCATGACCTCGTCACCCGAGGCATATCCCAGGCGGATGAGCGACTCGCCAACTGAGACATTAGAGGCGCGGGCCAGTTGTTCTGCCTCTTCGAACTGGTCCTTACTGATCACCCCTTGTCGAATGAGAATCTCGACATACTTCTCGGTCGCCATTTTTTCACTCGCCATACTGCGACCCCCTGCTCGGGCAAATGGCCGAAGGCCTTGATAAGTCTGTTCCGGGTAGAGATCGCCTGAGATGCACCACTAAAACTGCTCGCCACCAAACCGGGGGCGGCACTTAAGAGTTGGGGTGGAGCCAGTCGGGTCGTCGAAGAGACACCCGCGCGGATGCCTGAATTGCGCAATCCGCAGTCTCCCCAGGCTATTTACAAGCTAATAACGCCCTAAACCCTTGTCAACCAAGGCGAAGCGCTAATTCGGCCCAATACCAGGCTGCCAACCGCAGCAGTGGCGAAGAGAACCCCAACGGGAACCGACATGCCCCCGGAAACGCCCCGACGATACCTCAAGGGCGGCCAAAGCTTCAGCAAATCATGGCCGCCTGGAACTTAAGGCATCCGGCGTAGGACGTGAGCATTCAGCGAGAAGTTTGGCCGCGGGCAGATCGTGCGGCCTGTAGCAATTGTTGCAGTTGCCACCCACCAGGAATCTGTCTGCCTTGTGTTACGGGCCCCAGGTCGAGCGGTTCTTCGCTCGACTCGACCTCTGGGAGATCGTCTTCGGAGGCCGGCTGTGACATCAGTGCGATGCGGGCATTTCGGGCGTCGCTTCGAAGCTGAGTCGCTAACTCCCTAAGTTGATCGCTTTGGTAGTACAGGTCTTTGCGTTCGAGTTGATTAGCCACTAAGTCGAGTTGTTCGGCAGATTCGCGAAGGGCATCGATGCGAAGGTTGATCGTTCTCGCGGTTTCAGAGTCGGTCTCGGCTTCGAACACAGGGACCGCACTCGATTCTGAATCGTACCAAGGGTTAATCACCGCTGAATCGCTGGACACCTCATCGTGAACTCCTTCCGTCTGAATCACTTCCGTGGTGTTCAAGGATTCAAGCTCGCTGAGATTCTGCACCAAAGCCTGTCGGAGACTCGGCTCACTGTCTATCTCCGAAACGTTGAAGACACTATTCTCCAACACGCCAGGACCCAGCGACTCCATCAAATCCACAAGCTCCTTCACCGTCTTCGACTCTTTAGGAGCTCCAACGGGCGCTCCCTCCGAGGTGGAACTTGGTTCGGCAGGTTCTTTGGAGGAACTGTGCGTGAGTTTATCCTTCAAACGCAAGGTGTGCTGATGACTGCAGTATTTGCAGGCGGCCAGTTTCTCTTGTGGCGTTTCGAGCGATACCTGACGGCTTATCCCGGCATCGATTAGCAACGGATGTTGAGATTCGCCGATCTTATGGTCGGCCAGCTTCACGGCTTGACTCAGCCCATAGGCGGCTGTTTTTAAAAGCAACGGGGGCTCGTTGGAGCGAAACAAGGAACGACCTTCAAACACCTGGTCTTCTTCGAGGTGTAATTCGGGCTTTCTTTTGCCAGTTTCACTTGCCGGGATAACCACCAGCCGGAATCCCGGCGACAGCAACCGCCGACTTTGATCCTGAACGGTGATCGAAGGCCGCTGACAATCGGAGCATGCCGACGAACCGTCTTCGACGTTCGTCGATTCGCCCGGCTTTTCCCCAGCCAACGCACGGTGATTCGAGCCCACGGTCGCATGCAGAACGAGGCCTGCGAGAAAAACAATCAAGCTCAAACGTGCGTTCATAACGATCACCTCCGTGTGATCTACTTCTCGATTTCCAGGTAGACATGTTGCCGCATCAGCAAAGGGTGCAGCGCACAGATAGTGTCCCGCACCTTCGAGCGGGCGGACATTATAGGAGCCCTTCGCAGAGGAGATGAAGCCCAATCCGGGCCGGAAGTGCTAGCAGTGTGGTAAGAAGCGGGCGGTTGACCGATGCTCGTTGAGGCTACGACTGCTCTTCGACCGAAATCTCATCAATTTTGGCTGCCAAAATGAAATCGTTCTCGGAGAGTCCACCAATGGCGTGTGTCCAGATCTCGATCGACACGTTGCGGTAACCCTCGAGATGCAGGTCGGGGTGATGGCCTTCGGACTCGGCAACTTCGGCAATCTTGTTGAAAAAGTCGAGAGCTGCCATGAAGTTCTTGACCTTCCAGTCCTTGCGAATCCGCTGCCCCTGCTGAGTCGATCGCCAACCGGGGAGCTTGACCAGTTGATCGGTCGCTTCTTCTATGGTGCAAGGCTCAACGCCACCCTCGCAAGGAAGACATTTCTTGGTGACAAGTTGATCGGCGGTTTGAGTCTTCATCGTCATTCAGCCTTCTGCAGGGGTAAACTTGCCGTCGCCGAACGTGGGCGACCTTCCTGCATTAATCTTATGCGTTTGCCTCAGAAATCCAACCTCTGGATAACTAGCTCCGCGCATGCCGAAGGACCATCATCCTTCGGTTAATAAGTAAGAGCTTGCGACGGGGAAAGTTCAAACCCGAACTCGCCCAGCTTACTGCCAGGCGAAATCGCCGGCGTTCACACTGGGGAGATTGCTCACACCCATCAGGTAGTGGTCCACCGCACGTGCAGCTTCGCGTCCCTCGTGAATCGCCCACACCACCAGCGACTGTCCGCGGCGGGCATCTCCTGCGGCGAAGATTCCCTCGACACTCGTCTGATAGTTCTCGTCGGCCTGGATATTACCTCGACCATCGAGATCGACCTTGAGTTCGTCGATGGGTCCCGATCGCTGAGGCCCGACGAATCCCATGGCCAACAGCACGAGCTGACAGGGCCATTCCTTTTGGGTGCCTTCCACTTCCTTGAAACCCATGCGTCCGTTTTCGTCAGGTGCCCACTCGATTTCGACGGTGGTCAGCCCCTTCACGCGACCTTGATCGTCGGCCAGGAACTCTTTCGTCAACAGACTCCAATGACGATCGCAGCCTTCTTCGTGCGAAGTGCTCGTACGAAGAATGACCGGCCACGACGGCCAGGGGGTATTCTGCGGACGCTGCTCGGCACGGGGATATTCGCCAACATCGGGCGGCTTGGGCAACAGTTCGAACTGCGTCACGCTGTTGGCGCGGTGACGGTTCGAGGTGCCCGTGCAGTCGCTACCCGTATCGCCGCCGCCAATGATGATCACGTCTTTTCCGGTAGCCAGAATTGAAACATCTTCAGGGATCTCGTCTCCCTGATTTCGCTTGTTCTGCTGCGGCAGGAACTCCATTGCGAAATGAACCCCATCAAGTTCCCGGCCCGGAATGGGCAGGTCACGAGGTTGTGTCGAACCTAAGCAGAGAAGCACCGCGTCGTAATCCTTTTTGAGATCGGCAATGGTCACGTCCTTACCGACATTCACACTGCAGCGGAATTCAATCCCTTCGGCTTCCATCTGCTCTACGCGTCGCCACACCCGACTCTTTTCGAGCTTGAAATCGGGGATACCGTACATGAGCAATCCACCGGGACGGTCGTCACGTTCAAAGACCGTGACCTGATGCCCAGCTCGGTTAAGTTGCTGCGCTGCCGCCATGCCGGCGGGGCCGCTTCCTACGACGGCGACCTTCTTACCTGTGCGCGTCTCCGGGGGCTCGGGCTTGATCCAACCTTCTTTAAACCCTCGATCGGCAATTGAAACTTCAATCTGCTTGATGGAGACGGGATCTTCGTTGATGCCCAACACGCAGGCCGCTTCGCACGGAGCAGGACAAATGCGTCCGGTGAACTCCGGGAAGTTGTTCGTGGCGTGCAGGCGATGCAGCGCTTCCTCCCAACGGTGGCGATAAACCAGATCGTTCCAATCGGGAATAATGTTCCCTAACGGGCAACCGGTGTGGCAGAACGGAACCCCACAGTCCATGCATCGCGCTCCCTGGCGAGAGAGCTCGTCCTCGGGAAGGATTTGCAAGAACTCGTTGTAGTGGTTGAGCCGCTCTTTGGGTGGTTCCTTAGAGACCTTTGCTCGGTCGTGCTTCATGAATCCGCCGGATTCACCCATGGCTCACCTCCTCGAGTGGGGCAGCCACTTGCTCTTCGCGTCGCAGCTCTTCTAACGCCCGCTTGTAATCGATGGGCATCACCTTAACGAACTTCTCGATTGATTGATCCCAATTATCCAAAACGCTTTGACCTCGCGCGCTACCTGTGTATTCAACATGATGTTCAATGAGCTGTCGTACTCGCTGCTGATCCTCCGGATCGCTCATGTCTTCGAGTTCGACCATTTCCATATTCACGTGATTGGCGAAATTGCCCTCCTCGTCGAGCACGTAGGCAATTCCACCGCTCATTCCTGCGGCAAAGTTGCGGCCCGTGCGGCCGAGAATCACGGCGTATCCACCAGTCATGTATTCGCAACCATGGTCTCCGACCCCTTCGACGACGGCCGAGGCACCACTGTTACGAACACAGAACCGCTCGCCAACTTTTCCATTCAGATAAACCTCGCCAGCCGTGGCACCGTACAGGATGACGTTACCGGCGATGATGTTGTCTTCTGCAACGAACGATGATTCTGACGAGGGGTAGACGATGACCTTTCCACCGGAAAGCCCCTTGCCGCAGTAGTCGTTCACATCGCCTTCCACACGAACGGTGATGCCCGGGGCTCCAAACGCCATGAGGCTTTGCCCGGCCGATCCCTTGAACGTGATTTGAATCGTGTCCTCGGGAAGCCCCTCGTGTCCATACTTCTTGGTGACTTCGCTCGAGAGGATAGTTCCCACCGTGCGATTGATGTTGCGGATATCGGAGGTGACCTTCACCGGCTTGCCACTGGTCAAGGCCGGCTCGCATTCCTTTAGCAACACTCGCATGTCGAGCGAGTCTTCGATGCCGTGGTCTTGTCGGTCGGCACAGTAGGTCTTGATGTTCTCCGGCACCTGTGGCTTGTGCAGGATGGTGGAGAAATCCAACCCACGGGCTTTATGGTGCTCGATGGCCTGTCGAGCATCGAGCATATCGACGCGACCAACCATCTCGTTAATGGTGCGGAACCCAAGCGAGGCCATAATCTCGCGGAGTTCTTCAGCCATCATCATGAAGTAGTTGACTACCCATTCCGGCTTGCCCATGAACTTCTTTCGAAGTTCTGCGTTTTGCGTGGCAATTCCGACGGGGCAGGTGTTTTCGTGACACTTCCGCATCATGATGCAGCCCACCACGACCAACGCGGCCGAGGCCACGCCCCATTCTTCGGCACCAAGCAGGGTGGCAATCGCCACATCGCGCCCAGTTCGAATCAGGCCGTCGGTCTGAACGACAATACGACCACGCAGATCGTTCATCACCAGCACCTGGTGAGTTTCGGCAAGACCTAACTCCCAAGGCAGACCGGCATGCTTGATGGAAGTCTGCGGGCTGGCACCAGTTCCGCCGTCGTAACCACTGATGAGCACGACGTCGGATTTACCCTTAGAAACACCCGCGGCCACGGTACCAACACCAACTTCGGCAACGAGCTTGACGCTCACGCGTGCATCGCGATTGGCATTCTTCAGATCGTGGATCAATTGAGCCAGATCTTCAATTGAATAGATATCGTGGTGAGGCGGCGGCGAAATCAAACCGACACCCGGGGTGCTCTTGCGGATGCGCCCGATTTCGCGGTCGACCTTATGGCCGGGCAACTGACCACCTTCGCCCGGCTTAGCACCTTGGGCCATCTTGATTTGCAGTTCGTCTGCATTGACCAAGTATTCGCTGGTTACGCCGAATCGACCGCTGGCCACCTGCTTGATGGCACTACGACGCAGGTCGCCGGTGGAGTCGACTTTGAATCGCACCGGGTCTTCGCCACCTTCACCGGTGTTGCTCTTGGCACCCATCCGGTTCATGGCGATGGCCAGGGTTTCGTGGGCTTCGCGGGAGATCGACCCGTAGGACATGGCACCCGTGGCGAAACGCTTGACGATGGCCTCGGCCGGTTCGACTTCCTCCAGCGGAATTGGCTCGGGCAAGGTCTTGAATTCGAGCAAGCCTCGCAGGTTGAGCAGTTTCTTGTCCTGCTTGTCGATGAGATCGGAGAACTCGCGGAATTTCTTGCGGTCGTTCAGGCGACTCGACTCTTGCAGTTTGGCCACCACTTCGGGGCTCATCACATGCGATTCGCCTTTACGACGCCATTGATAATGGCCACCCACGTCGAGCCCCAGAACCTCGGGCACGTGTTTGGGCGGGAATGCATGGTCGTGTCGCTTGAATGATTCCTCGGCGACGCTCTCTAGACCAATGCCGGAAATGCGGCTGGGTGTCCAACTGAAGTATTCGTCTATGAATTCCTGGTTCAACCCGATGGCTTCGAAGATCTGAGCACCACGGTAGCTCTGCTGCGTGGAGATGCCCATCTTCGACATCACCTTGAGCAGGCCTTGGTTGATGGCCTTGATGTAGCGGGCGTCGAGCTTCTCATCCGAGAACTCTTCGGAGATGTATCCCTCGCGCTGCAACTGCCGAATGGTGGCGAAGGCCAAGTACGGATTCACCGCACCGGCCCCATACCCGGTAAGCAAAGCGTAGTGGTGCACTTCGCGGGGCTCACCCGACTCGACCACCAGGCCGCAGTGAGTTCGGGTTCCTTCGCGAATCAAATGGTGATGCACGCCGCCGGTGGCCAACAACGCTGGAATAGCGGCATCCTTCTCGCTCACCCCTCGGTCGGAAAGGATGATGATCGTTACGCCTTCTTCAATGGCCTTGGTTGCTTCTTGTCGCAGCTCTTCGAGCCGCTGACGCATTCCCTCAGCACCCTTCTTGCGGTCGAAGAGAATCGACAAGGTTCGCGACTTCAACCCTGGCTGATCGAGCTGCTTGATCTTTTGCAGTTCGGCATTGGTCACCACCGGCTGATCGAGCCGCAATAGACGGCATTGTTCCGAGGTTTCCTCGAGCAGATTGCCTTCAGAGCCAATCGTGGTAATCAGCGAGGTAACGAGTTCCTCGCGAATCGCGTCGAGCGGCGGATTCGTAACCTGAGCAAACAACTGCTTGAAGTAGCTGTACAGCAGTTGCGGGCGATCGGAGAGTACGGCCAGTGGAGTGTCGTTCCCCATCGAACCAATCGGCTCTTTGGCGTCGGCCACCATCGGCTCGAGGATGATCCGCAGGTCTTCCAGTGTGTAGCCGAAGGCCCGTTGTTGGGCCAAGTGCGAAGCCTGAGGAGTACCATTGGTCGATTGACCATTGGTACGCGGCTCGGGCAGTTGGTCCAAGCGGAGTTGATTCTCGTCGATCCACTTGCGGTAAGGGTTCGTAGCCGCAAGCGAGTTCTTGATTTCCTCATCGGTAATGATGCGGCCCTGAGCCGTATCAACCAGGAACATACGCCCGGGCTGCAGACGGCCTTTGGATTCGACGTCCGAGGGTTTGATATCCAACACCCCGGCTTCGGAGGCCATGACAACCAAACCATTCTTGGTGACCCAGTATCGGCTGGGACGCAGACCGTTGCGGTCGAGCACCGCACCAATCGCGGTACCATCGGTGAACGCCATCGAGGCAGGACCGTCCCATGGTTCCATGAGACAAGCCTGGTACTCGTAGTAGGCCTTCTTCTCGTCCGACATGCTTTCGTGGTTAGCCCACGGCTCGGGAATCAACATCGACATGGCTTGGGCCAACGAGCGGCCGGTAACCACGAGCAGTTCCAGAGCGTTGTCGAAAATGGCCGAGTCGCTGGCCTGCGGGGTGCAGATCGGCAGAATCTTCTGCAGGTCGTCGCCGTAGCGCTCGCTGGCCAGCATGTCTTCGCGGGCGTGCATCCAGTTCACGTTGCCGCGGAGGGTATTAATTTCTCCGTTGTGAGCCAGGAAGCGGAACGGTTGGGCCAAATCCCAGGTGGGGAAGGTGTTGGTGCTGTACCGCTGATGCACCAGGGCCAACGCGGTTTCCATCCTCTCGTCGGCCAGGTCGGTGTAATACTGATCGACCTGATGGGCCAGGAGCAGGCCCTTGTAGACCATCACTCGCGACGAAAGGCTGGGGATATAGCAGTATTCGTTTTGGACGAGATCGCTTTGTCCGATCTCAATTTCCAGACGCTTGCGGATGACATACAGCTTCCACTCGAACATATCCTCGGGAGTGGACTCGCCGCGGGCGACGAACACTTGGCGGATGACGGGTTCGACCCCGCGAGCCACACGACCGATTTCGCGGTTGTCGACCGGAACGTCGCGCCAACCGAGGAACTTCTGGCCCTCTTCGGCCACGAGTGCCTCGAACCGTTGTTCGCAGTGCTGCCGCTCGTCTTCTCGGGTGGGCAGGAACATCAACCCGGCGGCGTAGTCACCCTTCTTAGGCAGCTTGAAGCCAAGGTCTTTGACCACCGCGCGGAGAAACCCGTCGGGCATTTGCATCAACAGGCCGGCGCCATCGCCGGTGCACGGATCGCAACCGGCCGCACCACGGTGGGTGATGTTAGCCAGAATCTCGATACCATGACGGACGATGTCGTGGCTTGCCCGGCCGTGCATGTCGACCACAAAGCCGACACCGCAGGCATCGTGTTCTTGCGAAGGGTGATACAACCCCTGCTCGCGCAGGCGGCGAATGGGACCAGTGTAGGAATGGTTCATCAGCCGTTCTCCTTCGTGCTTGCCGTGGCGGTAGCCAGCGATTGGGCGTGGCCGTTGGCTGTCATCTTGTCTCCATTTGATTCCGAATTGTTGCTGAAGGGGTCATGCGATTTACCGTTGGATACCAGCGTCGCGCTGACTTCGTCCAATTGGTCGCGCTCGAGCAACAGTTCGATAAAACGCTCAGCCGTAGGGCTTAGCTCCAAACCTCGCCGATAGATGATTCCCAGCGGCCGAACCAGTTCGTCGGTCGTCAGCGGGATAGCCCTTAGCGTTCCGTCTTTCACTTCGCGAACCACCGTCGGCTCGGGCAGCAAGCCAATGCCGGCGTTGATCTCGATGGCTCGCTTAAGTGTTTCGATATTGTCGAACTCCATCACCACGTGCACGTCGACGTTGTGCAGGTGCAGCACGCGGTCGGTCTCGCGGCGGATGGTGAGCCCGGCATCGAAGCCGATCATGTCGAACCCGTCGAGGTCCGAGAGATCAGCTTCTGTCTGGTCTGCCAGTGGATGGTTGGGGGCACAAACCAGCACCATCGGCTCGCGGCGCCAGTTGATCATCTTGATCGATCGCGAGGACTTGGGGTAACTGATCAAACCCAAGTCGGCTCGGTGCTGTTCAATCGATTCACGAACCCGTTGCGGATGCAGGTACTCGATTCGCAACTTGGCCTTGGGGTATCGCGAGAGGAACTCTTGCTGATAGAGGTCCATGTGGTGAAGCCCGACCGAATAGATCGAACCAACTCGCAACCGGCCGGCCACTTCTTGATGCAGCGAACGAACGCGATCTTCCAGGGCGAAATAACGTTCGATCAGTTCGCGGCAGCCGTCGTAATACACCTCACCTTCGGGAGTGAGCACCAGCGGTCGTTTCGACCGGTCGATCAGCTTTACTCCGACTTCGTCTTCGAGTTGGTGAACCAGTTGGCTGGCACCCGACTGGGAAATGTCATTTTCGCTGGCGGCACGGGAAAAACTCCGCCTGCGCACGATGTCGCAAAAGACTTTTAGGGACTTGATCTGCACGTTTCTGCGTCGCCTTAAGGAGGGCCAGGGGCTGAATCAGCAAATCGAATAAAGCGCCGACACACCATTCGAAGAGAAGATAAAAGCCTAAAAAGTTCGCGACCTTCAGTCAAGCAGCCACTTTTCACGATTCTCGAATTCTTAACCACACAAGAGGGGCATTGGAGCCTAACCCATAAGGATTGCGCAACCCTGCTGAACTAAATAGGTTACAGGAATACCCCGGCGGAATGGGTGTTGCGCAGCTGAAACACTTCGGCAGCCTCGAGATTCGAGCAGCAACCCAAAAGAGGGGGTGCCAAAGGAGCACAGAACGCACATCTTGCTAGCAGAATATGTACCGCAACTGTAGATAATGCGTGATCAAGCTATGACCGGAGCTTATAGCCACCGATCCTATACCTCACAGGGAGGTATTTCTGATTCCCCACACCCTGTGGCTAGGCTTCCTGACGAGCCGTGCGAATGGCAGCGGTGAGCTGAGGCACCGCCTCGAACAAATCGGCCACGAGACCGAAATCGGCAACTTCGAAGATCGGGGCATTCGCGTCTTTGTTGATGGCCACGATGGTCTTCGAGTTACGCATTCCAGCCAGATGCTGAATCGCTCCACTGAGCCCTGCGCACAGGTAGAGTTTTGGGGCGATCACCTTGCCAGTCTGCCCCACTTGGAAGTCGTTAGGCATCCAGCCGGCATCGACCACCGCGCGACTGGCGCCCACGGCAGCCCCCAGCAGATCGGCCAGCTCTTCCAACAACTCGAATCCTTCCCGACCTTTTGTGCCACGACCGCCGGAGACGACAATGTCGGCCTCAGTCAATTCAGGACGCTCAAGCTCCGTCTTGTCGAGCTTCACGAATCGCTTGCGAGCATGGCCAAGCTGCTCTGGGAGTTCGACCTTTTCAATGGGGGCCGGGGCGTCGCCGGGCTCTGGTGCGTCGAACGAAGAGGCACGCACGGTGGCCACGCCAACAGGACCAGTGAGTTCGATATGTTGAATGAGGTTTCCCGAGAAGCAAGGCTTCGTGAAGCCAAGTGCCTCGGCGTTGACGTTCGCAATCGAAAGGACGTCGGAAGCCATCGCTGCTCCAAGCTTGGCGGCCACGCGGGGCAGACAATCGCGACTGAACGTGGTGGAAGAGGCCGAGATGAGACGGTAGTTGCCAGCCGACGCAACCGAGCTGATCGCGGCGGCACGCGATTCACCAGTTCCGTTTTCAAGTTGGGGATGCTCAGCAATGAGCACCTTGCGGACGCCGAGTGCAGCGGCCTTCTCAGCAGCGGCCGATACATTGCCGCCTAGCACTAACACGTCGCAGGCGGACGAAAGCTGCTCGGCCACTTTGCAAGCGAACCCGATCGAGGCCTCGTCGCTGCGCGAGAGTGAAGTTCCACCGCTGATAATCACCGCGAGAACGTCAGACATTATTCGATATCCGTTTAGGGTTTTGATTAGATCAAGTTCTTGGCGATCAGCTTTTCGGCTAGTTCTTCGGCCGATTCAACCATCTCGCCTTGCTGCCGAGGAGGTAATGTGCTGTAGCTGGAAACCGAAAGCGCAGACTCGGTTTCCAGATTCGGGGCGGGCACCACATCCGAGGGCTTTTTCTTCGCTTTCAGGATGCCCGGCAACGAGGCGTAGCGAGGCTCGTTCAGTCGCAGGTCGGTGGTGATCAGCGCGGGCAGATCCACTTCTACCACTTCGAGCCCACCATCGACCTCACAGGTGACCGTGGCAGTTTTTTGAGCGTCGTCGAACACGATCTCGGAGGCGAACGAAGCGTGCGGCCAATCGAGCAATTCAGCCAGCATCAGCGGGACCTGGCCGTATTCAGCGTCGATGGCCAACTTGCCAGCCAGCACCAAGTCGGGCTTTTCATTTTCAATCGCCGAGGCTAGTGCCTTCGCGGTTTGCAGCGGGTCGAGCTTTTGACCGCAGTCGACTCGCAACGCCCGATCGGCACCCATGGCCAACGCGGTTTGAAGTTGCTCGGCAACCGAATCCGGCCCCACGGCCAGGGCAATGACCTCGCCGCCGACCTTATCGCGGATTACGAGGGCCTCTTCGATGGCCAACTCGTCGAAGGGATTCACTTCGTACTGCACACCCTCGGTCACTAGCGATCCGTCTGAAGACAGCTTCATCTTGGTATCGCGTTGAGGGGTCCGCTTGACCGTCGCAATGATTTTCATGGGGTTGAATCGCTCTAGCAAATGTTGAACCGGCTGAAGGCAACGGAGTTTTGAAAAAGACACGCCCGGGAGAAATTTACCCGGGCGTGTCGTAGTTAACAATTCTCATCCACGCGGAGACCAAAATCACCGCAGGACGTCTCGTCGGCCAAACTAGTTGTCGTAAGGCATCAAGATTTCTTCGGCCTTGACGTCTTCAATCGACTTGAACTGACCGTCGGCAATCGCCGCACCAAGCTTGGTGACCTGGCGATAGTACGCGTCGGACGGACGGCTTCCGTTCAGCTTGCGGGTAAGATCTTGGCAGGCGATGTCGGCCGCTTCGCGGATCAACTCGTCTTGCTGCGAGGCACCATAGAGGGCCGTCGTGAGGATCGTCGTCGCATCTTGCAGGCGACCGGAAAGCTCGGACATGCGGCACTGACGATCGGCCAGCGAGAGTTGATGCTTGACCATGGTGCCGCTGATGTCGGCCGGCGAACGTTGCAGGAAGTTGCAGGCGAACTCGGCGTGAGCCTTCAGGTTCGACGGCATCGAAGGCAGCTTGTACTGGGCACTGCTCAGCATGAAGCCAACCTTCCATTTCGCATACGACGAGCCAGGGCCAGCCAGGGCCTTGAGGTGGCCAGGGTTGGCAAAGTTCGGCTTGCTGACACCCAACGCTTGCAGGGCTTTTCCGATCGGCTCGAAGAACTTCACGCCGTGCTCTTTGACGAGCGACTTGAAGAACGCCATGCCGAGCATTTCCCCTTCGCCCTCGTAGATGCAAGGAGCAAGGAACTCGTGGACCGAGTCGCCAAACATGTGACCATGCAGGAAGGAACGTCCACCATGCGTCTTCATGAAGTATTCGATAGCGGTGTGCTTTTGGGCTTCGCTACCAAAGATCTTGGCAATGATGCATTCCATCTCGCCGCGATAGCCATCTTCGAGCAAACCACCGCACCAGCGGACCAACGCGTCGCTGGCCACGACCAAGCCGGCGGCAGCACCAAGACGACGTTGCACCAACTCACGCTGTGCGATCGGCATCGAGTACGTTACGCGGAACTTAGCCCACGGAATCATGTTGGCCATCATCGTCCGCATCATGCCGGCGGCGTTGGCACACAGCGACACGCGACCCAGGTTCAAACCGTGGTAGGCGATCGTTAGACCATCGCCACGACCCGGATCGAGCAGGTTCTTGGCCGGAACGCGGAAGTCTTTGAAGATAATTCCACGGTTGTAAGCACCCTTAATGGCGTACAAGCCGTACTTCTTCAGTTGGAAGTTTTCGTTTTCTTCCTTTGGAAGGTCCACAACCAGCACGGCCGGGCGATCGTCGATGAGGCACACCAGGCCGATGGTACGACCGGGCACCACGTTGGTGATGAAGAGCTTTTCACCGTTCACCACGTATTCGTCGCCTTGCAGTTCAGCACGCGTGGCAAGGTTCGTCAGGTCGGAACCGGCGTTGGGCTCAGTCAGGGCGAAAGCCGAAAGCGCTTCACCGCTTGCTAGCTTCGGCAAGAACTCTTGCTTTTGTTGTTCATTACCAAAGGTGCGAACCGGATCGACGGCCCCGATACAACCGTGAACGCTGGCCAGACCAGCGACAGTGCCTTCGACCATGGCCATCCGAGTCAGATAAGGAGCAAAGGCCGAGAAGGGGCAACCCGCTCCGCCGTATTCCTTGCCAACGAGCAGACCCCAGTAGCCGGCCCCGCCCAGGTCGCCTAGGCATTCGTTGGTGATCTTGCCTTCATCGTTGTAGAGCGTTCCGCCGTCTCGGTGACGTCTCACGACTTCCATCGAATCGTCCATAACCCGTTGCGTGTCAGCATCGGGTTTGGTGGCCGGACGATCGAAGAGTTCCACCGGGACTTCACGGTCCCAAATCGCACGGTGCACAGGGCTGGCCGAGGTACGGAACTTGAACATCGTATCGACGTCGTCGTCCGCCTGATCGATGGCACCCGTACGACGGGCTTCATCAGCGCTCTTGCCCGCGAGAGTTAGGGCCGTTTCGGCAAAGGACGCACCTTGAGGCTTGGTTCCGCTTTGGTCACCGTTTGTGCCTGCGCCATTTGCGGCTTCAACTTTGGCGTCTTGTTCGACTGCGTCGGTCTTCATGAGTCACCACCTTATAAGAAAAGATTGACTGCTGTACCGACCACTTTTCGCCGGCAAGCCTCAACGGACATACGGTTTGAGGGACTAATCCCCCATCGTAGATACCAAACCAATTCGTCACAACAAATTTCGATGGGTTGCCATGCTCGCCAGCGAAGATGTCGTGCGACCTTCCGCCTGACTTAAACGCGTTCAAAAATCGTGGCGATTCCTTGACCCACACCAATGCACATGGTGGCCAGGCCAATGTTCAAATCGCGATCGATCATGTTATTGATCAACGTCGTGGCGATGCGGGCACCGCTGGCACCTAGCGGGTGACCAATGGCCACAGCACCACCACGAAGGTTTACTTTCTCTTCATCCATCTTGAGCATTTGAATGCAAGCTAACGCCTGAGCGGCGAACGCCTCATTCAGCTCGATGACGTCGATGTCCGAAAGCTCCATTCCCGCACGCTTGAGCACCTTCTTGGTGGCCGGCACCGGGCCGCTTCCCATCACCGCAGGATCGACACCGGCGATGGCCGTAGCCTTCACCCGAACCAGCGGCTTGAGGCCCAGCTCTTTGGCCCGCTCTTCAGACATCAGCAGCATGGCGGCCGCTCCGTCGTTCAACGGGGAGCTGTTTCCGGCCGTGACCGTGCCCACGCCCGGCATGAAGGCCGGCTTCAAGGCGGACAAGGCTTCCATGCTTCCGTCGGGACGGATGCACTGGTCGGTCTCGACCAAGATTCGATTTCCTTCTTCGTCCTTACCATAAACCGGAACGATTTCTCGCTTGAATTCGCCAGCTTCAGTGGCTTTGGCCGCTTTCTGATGGCTCTTCAGGGCGAAGGCATCTTGCTGCTCGCGGGCGATGCCCTGTGACATGGCGAGGAACTCGGCCGTGAAGCCCATGTTCAGCGCGGCCAGCGAGGTGCGGTGGAACAACTTCGGATTTGGGTCGGCACCCTTTTCCATCGGGAAGTGGAGCATGTGCTCCAGACCGCCGACGATCTGAACGTCTTCCGAACCGGCTGCCACGGCGTGGGCCGCTTGATTCACAGCCTGTAAGCTCGAACCGCAGAGACGGTTCACGGTGGTTCCGCCCGATTCGATGGACAGCCCCGCCATCAGCCCGATGCATCGGGCAGCGTTCATGCCCTGCTCACCAGTCTGCTGGGTGTTGCCCATGACGACGTCTTCAACCAATTCCGGGTCGACCCCGGTCCGCTCGACCAAGGCCCGAATGCAGGCCACGGCCAGATCGTCGGACCGCACGTCGCGGAATACACCCTTGTCTCTATGTGCCCGACCAACGGGAGTCCGCACGCAATCTACGATGACGGCTTGTTTCATCTGGTTTAACTCCTAGGCGGCATGTCGCCGCGGAAACTTTATCCCCGAGTTGGGCTTATTTAACCGTAAAAACCACGTCCGCTCTTTGCCATCTCTTCGATCATCGGCGTGGGCTTGGCACGCTCGCCGAGCGACTCCAATGGCTTGAGCATCTCGATAATCTTCTTGGCCCCCAGCGTATCGGCCCAGAACAGCAACCCACCCTTGAACGGCGGGAAACCGGTACCAAAGATCAATCCGAGATCGACATCGCGAGGGTCGCGAACAATGTTTTCGTCCAGAATACGCGTGGCTTCGAGCACCATCGGCAGGAACAGGCGTGAGATAATCTGCTCTTCGTCGAACGAGTCCTGCTTGCGAACCAGCGGCTTGATGATGCCTTCCAACTCGGGATCCGGGACGCCCTTGCCCTTCTTGTCGTACTTGAAGAAGCCGACGCCCGTCTTTTGTCCCAGACGCTTGGATTCGACCATGGCACCCAAGATGGGCGACTCGACGCATCGCTCGGGGAAGGCCTGTTTCATGACCGCACCGGCGAAGTAGGCCGTATCCATGCCGACCACGTCGTAGAGCGTGATCGGGCCCATCGGCATACCGAACTTCTTGGCCGCCTTCTCGACTGCGGGAATCTCGGCCCCGTCAAGAATCAGCTCCAGGGCCTCGTTCATGTAAGGCAACAGCAGGCGGTTCACTAAGAACCCGGGCCCATCGTTTACCACGATGGGCGACTTACCAATCGACTTGGCGAACGCCACCGCGGTGGCGACCGTTTGATCGCTGGTCTTCTCGCCGCGAATCACCTCGACCAGCGGCATCTTTCGCACGGGGTTGAAGAAGTGAATACCGCAGAATCGTTCAGGCTTCTTCAGCCCTTCGGCCAACCGAGTGATGGGGATGGTCGACGTGTTGCTGGCCAGGATCGCATCGTCGGCTAGTTGCGACTCGATGCGAGCGTATAGCTCTTTCTTGATTTCCGGGTTCTCGACGATGGCTTCGATCACCATGTCGCAGCCGGCGAATTCCACATCGGACGAAGTGGCATTTAGCAGCGGAGCGTTCTGCAGTGCCTTCTGACCATCGGGGCCTTTCTTCGAACGATCGAAGGAAACCTCGGAGAGAACGTCGCCGACACCCTTTTTCAGGGCCTCGGGGAAGGCATCGGTGAAAGTGACCGGTACGCTGCGACGCACTCCGGCGGCGGCGATGCCTGCTCCCATGATGCCGGCACCAATCACACCGAGCGACTTCACTTCGGCTGGCTTGATGCTGGAATCCTCAACCCCAGGATCCTTCTTATTGCGATCCATGAGGAAGAACACGTTGATCAATGCTTTGTTGATGTCGCTGCCGAAGAGTTCAGCCATGCCCTCGGCTTCAGCCTGACAGGCCGCTTCGAGATCGAGCCGGGCCGAGTTGGTCATCACCTCGACGGCTTTCAGCGGGGCGGGATACTGCCCCTTGGTTTGCTGCTTGATGTAGCCGGTGGCAGTGACGATGAGGAAGGTCAACTCAGTGTCGTCGATGGCCGTCATCGGCTGCGACCACGTCTCGCGGTCCTTCTTGTACTGGCCGGTTTCCTGCTCGGCACGGACCATGCGAACGGCCGCGTCCATCAGTTTCTCGGGATCGACGACATCTTCGACCAGGCCGAACTTCACGGCCTTGTCAGGGCGAATCGCCTCGCCGCTGGAGACCATTTCGATGGCGTTGGCCAGGCTGATCATGCGAGGGGTTCGGGCCGTACCGCCCCAGCCTGGGATGATGCCGATCTTGATTTCGGGGAAGCCGAATTGTGTTTTCTTGTTATTCGTGAGCACCCGGCGATCGCACCATACAGCGATTTCCGCACCACCGCCCATGGCCACACCGTCGATGGCGGCCACCGTGACGAAGGGGCAGGCCGACAGCCGCTGGAAGAGCTTTCGCCCCCGCGTACAGAGATCGACAACTTGCTCCTTCGGGACATCGCCGGCAGCGGCGAACTCCGTGATATCGGCCCCTGCGATGAACTGCCCGGGCTTGCCCGAGGTGATGATCAAGCCAGCCAGATCAGTTCGCTTTTCCAATTCATTGAGATGTGCGTCGAGTTCCTCGAGCACGTGTTGGGAAAAGACGTTGGTGCTCTTTCCCGGGGCGTCGAAAGTCAGCACCGCGATGTCCGGTTCGGTCATCGAGAGCTTAATAGTCGGTGCATCAGCCATACCACAACACCTTCGTGTGCAAATGAACGAGAGCAGATACGCCCCCCAAAAGAATCCCGCGGTCTGCACCCATTGAGATACAAGACCGCCACCGAGGATATATTTTGTATCACACAGGGTGTTGACAAGCACCCCTTCGCTCAACAATTCTGTCTATACTAAGCATTAATCCAGCCAATGATATCAGGGTCTTCTCTCCGGTTATTCCAAAGCTACCGGAGGCTGATCCACCCCCTTTTATCCTTCTGAATTGGCTGACGCATCAAATCCGAGATGCCACTCCTGCTTGGCACACTCTCCCCCCACTTCTGGTCTCCCAAGCCAAGTCGAATGCGCGGCCCACGTTCGGTTGCCAGGGTTGGTCGTCTTGTTTCTCGAACCCCGAAAACTAGAATGCTGGGCTGCGAGCCACAGCCAAGGCGAAAACCCTGCCCATTCTGCCCAGTCAACTTGGGTCGTTATCGATGACTGAACTACATTCAGGCAAATCCATCATTCTGCGTCGCGGGCTCTTGGCAGCAATATTTGTCGCCGGAGTATCAGCGGTCGCCATGCTGGACATTTGGCCATCTGATACCCCACTGGAAGCCCAGGAGCCCTCGACCGGGACGGTTCGCCTGGTCATCGACTACGGTGACGGCGTGGAGAAGCATTTCACACGAATTGCCTGGGAACCGGAGATGACGGTACTGGATGCCCTTGAGCAGGCCCAAGATTCAAGCCACGGAATCACGTTCGAACATCGCGGTCGCGGGGAGACTTCGTTCCTGGTGAAGATTGACGATCTGGAGAACGAAGCCGGCGGGCCAGACAACCGAAACTGGACTTATACCGTTAACGACAAGCCGGCGACGAAAAGTTTTGGTATACATGAGCCTGACAAAAACGACGTGATTGTCTGGAAGTTCGGCCCTTTCGAGCCGAATCCGTAGATACACGACAAAGACTTAGACGCGAGTACCGGGAGCCAACCGAAGATGAAGCGAATCAATCCAACCGCCTGGGGTGTTGCCGGTTTACTCGTTGCTCTGTGTGCGGCCGTTCGCATCGGGCACTTTGAAGGCATTTTGCCGCTGCCCCCCAACGCCGCCCCGCTGGTTGGAGTGGCCCTGCTTGCTGGGTACATCCTCCCAAGCCGAGCCCTGGCATTTGCCGTCCCGCTAGCTGCCATGGTGCTTGGTGATGCGTGGATTGGCACCTACAGCGTGGCGATTATGGTTACGGTTTACGCCACGTTATTGGTTCCCGTCGCGCTCAGCAGTTTACTTCGCAAGAAGTTCACCTTGATTCGACTGGGGGGAACGACCCTGGGGTCGACGCTGCTATTCTTCGCGACCACGAACCTCGCCGTTTGGGCATTCAGCCCCATGTACTCCCACACATGGGCCGGACTGAGCCAGTGCTTTGTAGCTGCTCTGCCATTCCTGAAGTACAACGTTGTGGGCGACCTGATGTGGACTTCGGTGCTGTTCGGCCTGTATGCCGCTGCCATGCGAGGCGTGCAACAGCCCAGCATGGCTGGCCTTTTCAACAAGCCTGCCGTGGCTCCCGCCCCGGTCAAGAAGTAGCCGCCGCTCGCCGATTAGCCCCGGCTGGCATTGCCGGCGGGTTGATACGCTTCACTTTCGGGTGATGGGTGCGCGCCATGCCCTCGCTTCCAGTGATCGACGCTTGGGCCAATCTCGCTCTGCCCGGCACGCTTGATGTGCCGCAGGACATTCGCCGGTTGTTCGAGCAAGCCGGCCGCGCCGAGGTACTCCGCGACGGGATCAATGCTGAGGCCATGATTGGCCTGATGGACCGTGCCGGAGTCGAACGGGCCATGGTCACCGTCTGGCACCACGGAGATAGCTGGAAAACGAGCGACCAGCAGGTTCGCCAAGCGGTGAAGCTATTTCCGGAGCGTCTCGTGGGAGTCGCTGCCGTAGACGTCGAGCACCCAGTCGAGGCGATTGCAAATCTGCGTCACGCTGTAGAAGACTGGGGTTTTCGGGCGATGCGGCTTGTCCCCTGGCTTTGGAACTGCCCGCCGTACGATCCGCGGTACTACCCGCTCTACACGGAATGTGTGGAATTGGGCATACCCGCCTGCACCCAAGTCGGTCACACCGGCCCGCTCGCTCCCTCGGAAACAGGTCGCCCAATTCCCTATCTGGAAGAGGTGGCCCGAGACTTCCCAGAGCTATCCATCGTCGGCGGGCACTTGGGCTACCCCTGGGTCGACGAGATGATCGCCTTAGCCTCAACCTACCCGAACGTCTATATCGATACTTCGGCGCATCTGCCTCGCTACTATCCAAGGGCTCTGCTCGACTTCATGAAGACTACCGGGCGGGAAAAGGTTCTCTTCGCCACGAACTTTCCGATGCTCGATTTTCAGAAATGCGTCGAGCAGGTTGGCCAGCTTGATCTTCCAGCTGCGGTCGAAAGGGCGTTCCTCTACGACAATGCCCGTAATGTTTATGGGCTGGTCTAAGACATCCTCCTAGTGACTTGCTTCGACTTGGGAAATCTTCGACGATGTGGCCATCGACGGCTTGGGCAACCGCCCTGCTGGTCAGAGATTCCCCGCGGCGCTTAACTCAGGTGGGCCTCACGTGACTTCGTTTGTCAGTCGTTCGTTCAAAGTGTTTCCGGCCGGGTCCAACGGCGAATTCGACTTGCCGGAAGATCTGGCGATTGTGATCAGCCGGGGCCAGGGCTGCGAATTGTGGGATACCGAAGGGAAGCATTTCTACGACTTCTCGCTCGGATGGGGCTCAGTGCTTGTCGGGCACGCTCGCGAGGAAGTCGTGGAAGCGGTCACCAGGCAGGCTCCGCTGGGTTCGAACTTTGCCTATGTGAATGAGCAATCGCTGCTGTTGGCCGAAGAGATCGTCCGGCTCAGCCCTGCGTGCGAAGCTTTGCGTTTCTGCGCCTCGGGCACCGAGGCCACGATGTACTGTCAGCGGTTGGCTCGGGCTTTTACCAAACGGCCGAAGATCCTGAAGTTCGAGGGGGCCTACCACGGCGCTAACGAGATCGGCGTGACGAGCCTCTTCCCGAGCGATCCACCTCCCTTCCCCACGCCCGACCCAACCAGCGCGGGCATCACCCGACTAGTTGCCGACGAGGTGCTCATCGCGCCGTTTAACGATCTCGAACAGACTGCAGCAATTATTGAACAATACGCCGATGAATTGGCCGGCGTGATTGTCGAGCCGCTACAACGCTGTGTGCCGCCGGTCGAAGGTTTTCTGGAAGGCCTGCGAGAACTCACGCAACGGCATAACATCCTGCTTCTGTTTGACGAAGTGGTCACCGGCTTTCGCCTGGCATACGGCGGGGCCCAAGAATACTACGGTGTTGTGCCCGACTTGGTCGCTTACGGAAAGGCTCTCGGTGGGGGCTATCCCATCGGTGCGTTCGGCGGAAGAGCCGACGTGATGAACATCGTTCGCGAAGATCACTTGGGCCAAGACGATTACGTGTGGGTGGCTTCCACACTCGGCGGAAACCCCATCTCAACCGCAGCCGCACGGGCAGCCTTGGGAGTTCTTTCCGGCGAGAATGTCTATCCCCGCTTGCATGCTTTGGGAAATTACCTTCGCGAGGGAATGCGAGGCGTTCTCGAAGAGCGAGGAGTCGAAGGACAGGTGATCGGCGATGGTCCGCTGGCGCAAATCGTGCTGACGAAGGAGAACGTGGTCGATTATCGCTCCTCACGGCACGTCGATACGTACCGTGCCCGTCACATCATGCTGGGGCTTTTCCATCGAGGGATCTTCCTGAACCCCATGGGGACCAAGCTCTATCTCTCGTTGGCCCACGACGAGAACACGTGCGACGAACTGCTCGATTGCCTGGATGACATCTTGATCAAGCCGTATTCAGATTGACCCCAATCGGGGCAATATTTGTCCCGCGGCAAGGTCAGGGTTTATACTCAGGCGACTGGATTCCGGCATCGTAACTGCTGGTGGTGTTGCAGTTACGAGGTCAGTTGGATTTCCAACTCCCTCCCTCGCTCTCTGGCTGACGCATGCGATACCGATGCCGAGTTTCGCTCCTGCTTTCGACCACGCTCGCCCTGTGTCTTGCCTGGGCACTTCCGGCCTCTGCAGATGAATCCGACGAGCTTCCTCCGCCGGTGGACCGCGAGATCGATTTCCGCACTGATGTAGAACCGATCTTCGCGAAGCACTGCTTAGGCTGCCACGGCGCGGAGAAACGGGAGAGCAATTTTCGCCTCGATCTCGAACAGCCCGCAAAAGCGGGTGGTGATTTTGGGGAAGCAGCCATTGTGCCGGGCGATAGTGCCGGCAGCCCTGTCGTGCGCTACGCCGCCGGACTCGATCTTGAGATGCCGCCGGAAGGCCCGTCGCTAACCACCGAAGAGATTGGCATTCTCCGCGCTTGGATCGACCAGGGGGCAACTTGGCCACAGTCTCCCAAGGGACACCCCGAAGCTGAAACACTCACGACCGACCATTGGTCGTTCCAAGACATTGTGTGTCCCGAAGTACCCAAAGTTGATGTCGGATGGATCAGCGGACCAATCGATGCGTTTGTTCTGGCGAAGCTTCTCGATGCCGGATTGGAACCATCGCCCGAAGCCGACCGAGTGACACTCATCCGTCGACTCTATCTCGACATGCATGGGCTTCCGCCCACGCCTGAACAGGTCAGCAGTTTCCTGAACGACAAGAACGATGACGCCTACGAAAAGTTGGTTGATCGTGTGCTCGCCAGCCCGAGATATGGGGAACGCTGGGGTCGGCATTGGCTCGACGTGGTTCGCTTCGCCGAAACCAACGGGTTCGAAACCAATACGCCTCGCCCCAATGCCTGGCATTACCGCGACTACGTGATCCGTTCGTTGAACGACGACAAGCCATACGATCAATTTGTGCTCGAGCAACTGGCCGGCGATGCCTTAGGAGTTGATGCCGCTACCGGGTTCCTGGTTGGCGGTCCGTACGACACGGTAAAGAGCCCCGATATCAACCTCACACTCATGCAGCGACAAGACGAACTGGCCGACATGGTGAACACCACCGGTACAGCACTGCTCGGCATCACCATGGGTTGTGCTCGCTGCCACAACCACAAGTTCGACCCGGTGCTGCAGAAAGACTATTACGCACTGCAAGCCGCCCTGGCTGGTGTGAAACATGGCGAACGCAAACTTCGCGGGGCTGATAATCCGGCCCGAGAGCTGCAAGCGAAGGAAGTGCGGCGGGAGTTGGAGTCGCTCGACCTCCAACTTGCCGAAGTTGAAGGCCAACTCGATGCGGCCGAACCGTTGGCCGACCCCCAACTCACAGCCACCGAGGCCGAGAACCTCGCTCAGTCCATCACCCGCCCGGCAGTCAATCCTCGGCGGAACGTCGATCGGTTCAACCCAGTGCTTGCTCAGCGTGTGCGGTTCACCGTGTTGAACACGAATGGAGCTAGCGAGCCCTGCCTCGACGAGCTGGAAATCTATACGACCGAAATCCCACCGCGAAATGTCGCGCTCGAAGCTAATGTGACCGTGACGAGTTCCGGTGACTATAGCGGGAACCCCAAACATCAACTCGCCCACCTCAACGATGGACAATACGGCAATTCACGCAGTTGGATCGCCAACACGGTGAGCAAGGGGTGGGTCGAAATCGAATTTCCCGAGGCTGTCCAGATCGACCACGTCGTGTGGGGACGCGATCGCGAGAGTAACTTCGTAGACCGTCTCCCGGTGGAGTACTCAATTGAGGTCTCCCCCGCTCCGAATCAATGGGAACTCGTAGCCGACCACACCGATCGGGCAAGCGAACAGCAAGCCGGCCAATCGCAGGACGAAGAGATTGCCCCGCAACTGGCCGAACTACACCAGCATGTGCAGAAGCTCCGCGAACAGCGGGAGTCGCTGAGTAAGCGGCTCAATGAGTTGAGCAGACCGCAGATGGTCTATGCCGGCGAATTCGAACAGCCGAAGACAACGCATCGGCTGTACCGCGGCGACCCCATGCAAGCCCGCGAGCCTGTGGCGCCCGACACGCTTTCAGTAATCGGCTCGCTTGGCCTTCAACTCGACGCCCCCGAGCAAGAGCGTCGCCTGGCATTGGGACGTTGGATCGTGAATGAAGGCCGAGGGCTTTCGGCCCGAGTGATGGCCAACCGCGTGTGGCACTATCATTTCGGCCGCGGCATAGTGGCCACGCCCAGCGACTTTGGGGCGGCCGGTTTTCCACCGACACATCCTGAACTTCTCGATTGGCTGGCCAGTGAGCTGATCGATGGCGATTGGAAACTCAAACCGCTGCATCGAGAGATATTGCTTTCAAACACCTACCGCCAGTCGAATCGGCCAACCGCCCAAGGGCTGGAAGTTGATGCAGACGCTCGGTTGCTCTGGCGATTCCCGCCGCGGCGACTGGAAGCCGAAGCCATCCGCGACAGCGTGTTGGCCGTCGCCGGAACACTCAACTTCGAAGCGGGTGGGCCCGGGTATAGCGCATTCGAACCGAATGAAAACTACGTCCGCGTCTACACTCCACGCGAACGTTTTGAATCCCCGCAATGGCGACGGATGGTCTACATGACCAAGGTCCGCATGGAACGCGATGCCGTGTTTGGGGCTTTCGATTCACCCGATGCGGCGCAGGTCTGCCCCCGCCGCACCCAGTCGACCACACCGCTGCAGGCCCTTAATTTGCTCAATAGTACATTTATCACCGATCAGGCCGAGCACTTCGCTGCGCGCTTGCGAACCGAATCCGGCGACGATCCGGCGGATCAAGTGCAAAGAGCCTTCTTGCTCACCACGGGGCGCGAGCCCGAAGCAGAGGAAACCGCGGCCGCCGTGCAACTGATCGAAGAACATTCGTTGGAGGCGTTCTGTCGAGTCGCGTTTAATCTGAATGAGTTCCTGTTTCTCCCCTAGTGGGGCAAGCCGCCTCTTCGATCCATACACATTCGAGAATGAAAGCCCTCTGAGAAATGAAGCAACCACAAGGTCTTTCTCCGGCAGCTTCCGATCTGTTGGATCGCCGACGCTTTTTCGGCCATACGGCCACGGGATTGGGCGGCATCGCACTGGCCAGCCTGTTCCAACAGCAAGGACTGCTGGCCGCCGATGAAAATCATGAATCGATCGAACCGCAGATCGATGCCAGCCGGCCTTATGCCCCACGCGATCCGCACTTCAAGCCGCGTGCTCGAAATGTTGTGGTGTTATTCTGCTCGGGGGCGTTGAGCCACGTCGATACGTTCGACTACAAGCCGGAATTGATCAAGCGCCACGGTCAACCCATGCCGGGCAGCGATGAGTTGATCACGTTTCAGGGGGAACAGGGGGCGCTCACACAAAGCCCCTACGCATTCAAGCCGCGAGGGCAAAGCGGCAAGATGACCTCCGACTTGCTTCCCCGGTTGGGCGAGCTGTCGGACGACATGTGCTTCATCCATTCGATGACCAGCAAGACCAACACCCACGGGCCCGGCGAAAATTTCATGTCGACCGGCTTCACGCTTGATGGATTCCCGAGCATGGGAGCCTGGGTCACTTATGCCTTGGGTTCAGAAAGCCAGGACCTGCCAGCGTTCGTGGCGATTCCCGACCCTCGCGGAGTACCCCAATCGAGCGTGAACAACTGGGGCCCCGGTTTCCTTCCGGCCGTGTTTCAAGGCACACCACTGGGGGCAAACAGCCCCGTGCGAAACCTCGCCCGGCCTAGCTCCATCACGCAGGCAACCGACGTGGCATCGCGCGAGCTGCTCGCACAGCTCAACCGCCGTCACTTGGAAGACTTCGCCGGCGACACCGAGTTAGCAGCCCGAATCGCCAGTTATGAGTTGGCCGCGCGAATGCAACTCTCAGTTCCCGAGGTGAGCGATCTCTCCAGCGAACCGGAACATCTACTGAAACTGTACGGTGCTGACGACACCGAGAATAAGCTGAAGGCCGGCTTCGCACGAAACTGCATCATGGCTCGCCGGCTGGTTGAACGGGGTGTGAGATTCGTGCAGTTGTTCAACGGTGCTTACGCGATGGGAGAGGGTGTGGGCAATTGGGACGGCCACAAAACTCTAAAGAAACAGTACGACGTGCATGGCCCCATTCTCGATCAACCGGCCGCCGCGTTAATCACCGATCTTCGCCAACGCGGGTTGCTGGAAGACACGCTCGTGGTCATCTGCACCGAGTTTGGTCGAATGCCGACCTTCCAGAAGGGTGCCTCGGGAAGGGATCACAACCCCTCGGGTTTCACTTGTTTGCTGGCTGGAGCAGGAGTGAAAGCCCCGTACAGTTATGGAGCCACCGACGATTTTGGCTATCAAGCGGTGGAGAAGATCACCCCAGTTTACGATCTGCACGCCACGATTCTGCACATCTTAGGTCTCGACCACGAGCGACTCACGTTCTATCACAACGGCATTCGCCGTCGCCTGACCGACGTGCATGGACACGTGATTGAAGAGATTCTCACCTGAGCCGATATAAGCAAGTGAGTTAGATGGCCCCGCTCGAACGCAGCAGGGCTTCCTGCACGATCAGATCGTGTTCAAGCGAGTATTGGGGCTGCTTCTTGTTCAGCACGCAAGCAGCGAACTCACGAAGGTCGGGCAGTTGCAGTGTGGCCGCGGGAAGATCGAGCCGCCGCCAATTGTCGTCGCCTTCGAGCTGAACCTCAAGCGGCTGCGTGGTGGTGTTGGCCAGGTGCCCTGAGCCCAAGTGAGGGATCGCGCAGGCTCCTTTGGTTCCGTAAACCTCGAACCGCCGAGATCCCTCGAGAGGTTCGAGCGTTGAAACTTCAACGATGCCCCAGGCCTGCGGATATTGAAAGACGGCCAGACCGTTGTCGATGAAGTCGCCTTCCGACTCGTGATGGTGGGCCAGAAAAGGTGTCACGCCCGT